CCTCTTCCTCGGAAAACGGTAAAGTGGACAAAGAAAGTTGCCTTGCGGCTTATAAATTGTGCCATTTTCAATTCATTTTTGGTTTTCAAAAATCTAAACCCTCATTCAAAATTGAAATAAAAGGCATTTCTGCTGAACGTGGCAAAAGCCTGGGCTACAGACCACATGGTGGCGGCAGAACCAGCGGAAGACACAGTCTTAGTACGACTGGGCCCGTCTACTCCCACCCCACGCAGGCCTCATTTTGACCCCCCTGGGCGACTTGGGTGATATGCGGAAACATACCCTCACGAAAATTGTGAAGAGTGAACATTTCAAGGGGAAGCAGCCTTCTAGGCAATGCCGTGTTTGCGCAGTTCACAAGAAAAGGAGTAGTAATGCCTACATTTGCAAGTTTTGTGTAATGCCACTTTACAGAAGGGAATGTTTCGAGAAATATCACACCCTCAAGCACTTCTAGAAGCATTGGTAAGTGTTCTCCAAAAATTTTAGTTCATAAAATTAATTAGGAGATTTTATATTAATTTTTAAAGTGAACAGTGCACAAGTTAGGGTAGTAGGTATAAAAATTCCGGTCCGCAGGGTGATTTAAATATTTAAATTGCCGGTCCGCAAAGTGTTAAGTGCAAGAACAACTTTACCTTTACTTTAATTGAAAGTTTTTAATCTGATAAATATTTATCAAGTTATGTATAAGCTGCACGCAGAAAGGCACTTAGGTGTTCGTATAATTTTCAATATTATTGTCCAGTTTTAAAAAATTTGAAATGTGTTAGAAAATTTTAATAAGACTCTTAATATTAGATAACAGGAAAATCCATTGAGCAGTTATTGTGTTGTTGTGTGTGGATAGTGGGATGGACAGACAAAGGTGGTGAAGCTAAGGTTTACATTTACATGACTTTACATTAACACCAAAAGAGATAAAACTGTTATTGCATAATATTATATTTTAGCGTCCCGTTGCACTGACTGATGTTCATGATTAATGCTAACCGTCTTACAGTGCATACACTAAGGTGAAAAAAGTGTATGCACTGTAAGACAGTTAGCATAAATCATGGACTATTATTGCATGGGCAGTTTTTTTAAATTTTAGTGCCATATAGTAATGTATGTAATTAAAAATTGGACTAGAAGATTATGTATGGAAACCATTTTCAGATATTATGGGGACTAATTATAAAGAGTATTATTACAAATTTTAGAAATTCAAGTTGTGTTGATGTTGCACTGTGTGTCATTCAGTAACCACTAAACATTTGCAGATTATAGTACAATGTTCTTTGAGGAGCTGAGATGAGTATTGATTTCTTTACTTACATTCAATGGAGGGGGTGAAGAAGGGAAGGGAGAAACACTCACATGCACACATTTGTGGTGATAGGATTATAAGTCTGCCGCAAAAGAAGTGGGTGGGGATCTGACTCCATTTGAAGCCTTATACTCATACACTCATTGAGATTTTGATCTGATGTAGTCAGACATTTTTCAAAATAAAGACAATTGTACTTTATACACTATATGTTTTAATTTTCCTGTGGGGGATCTATGTGTAGATAGGAGAATAATATTGAAATGAATCTTAAAGAAGTAGCATTTTAGGGCTTTGACTGTTCAGCTGGCTCAGGATAAGGTCCAGTGGATCTCTTAAGTTTCTTAAGAAGTTTAGAATATCTTGTCTGGCTGAGTGACTGTCACCTTCTCATGAAGGATTGTTCCAGTTGGTTCTGTTTTGTTTTTCTTAACTAATAGGCTTCTTTCAGCACGAGTGGCTACATTCTAGCTCACTTGTTAATAATGCTCTTATTCTTCAGTGCCTTCTTTGGTTTCATCTTGTGCTTTGCCAATTTATGTGTGACTTAATATTGTTAATGTTTACAAGTTTGCATCATACCTTGATACTACATGAAGTAGTTGAGGATGGTGAAACAAATGCAGACCTAGAACTGATACTATTGGAATTGGTTACAGTTTGGAATTCAAAGTGAAGAAAGAAGGCTGGGGTGGTGGTGGAACTCGTCAGGTCAAGTTTATTTCTGCAGGAACGTCAGACATGGCTCTTCTCAAACCATCGGGCAAGGTTCTTACGGTTGTAATTGGTCCAGGCTTGCCCAGTAATTCCAGTGAGTTTTTCATTATATGAAGAGTTTGTTCCATAAGTGTGATGCGCTGAATAGTACTGAAGCATCTCTGTCTGTGGGAAGAATTGTGTCTTAACCTTTAAATGCCGGACTTCTGAAATGGTGGTAAGCTTGAACTGGCCGGAGTTTATTTAAGCCCACTGTTGGTGTGCGTTTAAATGCCCGTTGCTACTCTGCGTTTAAATGTCCGTTCCTGTTAGGGTGCTTAAACAGTTTTAAGCATTATGTTCAAAAATGCTGTATCTAACTCAGTTTTTATGATAAATGGATGGAAGTAATTTTGTATCAGCAAAGAACATAGTGTCACATATTATAATGGAAGATATATGATATAAACACCGTCCTAAGTGCAACAATTTATTGTGGGTTTTTGTCTTGATTTCTTCTACACTACATGTTTTGGCTGCAAACAGCCATCATCATGTGTATACACTCATGTAGCTGTTACACTGCACTTAGTTTAAAATTTAAAACACAGGTCTTCCCAATTGTTCCCTTCGTCATTGCTAACATAATCTACTTTGCTGATATTTGTCTGATTTGTACATTATCTTTGTTACCTACACACGTCAATTTTGACTTTCATGAACTGACGCTTTTAAAATCTTCAGTTCCAATCTTAAAATTCCTCTAAAATTGTTTTCCAAATTCAAAAATTTTTAAATTTAAAATTCTCAGGGTTACTCACCCTATGTCTATAGTGCTGCAGCGGCTACTTCTTGTTTTCAGCACTGTATAGCCGCTGCAGCACTATAGACATAGGGTGAGTAACCCTGAGAATTTTGAATTTTAAAATTTTTAAAATTTGAAAAAAAAAAAAAATTAGAGGAATTTTAAAATTGGTACTGAAGATTTTAAAAGTGACAGTTCATGAAAGTCAAATTTGACGTGTGTAGGTAACAGAGATAATGTACAAATCAGACAAATATCAGCGAAGTAGATTCTGTTAGCAAGGACGAAGGGAACAATTGGGAAGACTTGTGTTTTAAATTTTAAACTAAGTGCAGTGTAACAGCTACGTGAGTGTATACACCTGATGATGGCCGTTTGCGGCCGGAACATGTGGTGTAGAAGAAAGCAAGATGAAAGACCTACAATAAATTGTTGCACTTAGGACAGGGTTTATATCATATATCGTATAGAGTGCAACAGGATGCTAAATATAATATTATAATGGAAGATTTGAAATTTTTTCTACAAAGAGTTATACTCTATTTTCAGTTTTCTTCTTTTAATTTTGATGCATACTGCAAAAATGGTTTCCCAGTTCTTCACAGAGTTGTTCTGCATTATAAATTCATTTCTGTTTGTAACACTTGACAAATTTTAGCAGTCCCTGATGTCATAAAACAGATGGAAGCAATAAAATCATTTGGTCTTCTGCTGGCACTTCTTACACTCTTTGGATTTTCAAATCTTTTGGCTAAAGGACAGAAGAATGAAAGAATGGCTATTCAGGAGAAAGCTAGAGGGGTCCCTTCTTCAGTGCTAAGACCTTCCGTTATAGCTGCAAGAGATCATTGCCCTTTCTAGGGTCGTGAACAGACAGTTGCATCGTGGCTGAGATACAGAGTGCGATCTGTTTTCTGTGCGTTCATAGTGAAATTGAATACTGTAGTTTCATTTCAGCCTATTTATACATGGCAACATAATTTTTCCTAAATTTTGAAAGCTCTGACCAGAATTTCCAAATTTGCCGCTGAGAGACAGCAACGTCTGATTTCTAATGACGCTTCTAGATGATGCAGAATTCCAAGGACAATGAAGCGAGTCCAGGGCGAAGTCAGTGTGATCATAACCTTCGTCGAGAATGAATGTTAGCCGGCTGGAACAGCGTTATTATGTGAAAATAGCGGTGCTTCACGGCAGAAATGGGACTGAATGTCACTCAGAGCTTGTGGAAGCTCTGGGTGATCATGCTCTACCATACAGAAGTGCTGCAAGGTGGATAGAAGCATTCCAACGTGGAAGAGAAGCAAGTGCTGACTTGCAATGTAGTGGATGCCCTGTGTCCGTTCGTACCAATGTTTCTCATGCGGTGATCACCCAGTTCATAGAGGAAGATAGGTGCTGGTCTCTGAAGGGGTCAGAGAGACATACAAGGATTGATCAGGCAACTGTGCATCGAATTTTATGAGAAGACCTACACATGCGCAAGATTGCAGCGAAGTGGGTGCCACACGAATTAAACGAGGTTCAAAAGTGGACATGTTATGAAGCAAATTGTGTGAACCTCGAACGATATGAAATTTAAGGAGACAATTTCTTGAATTGGATAATTTCCATCGATGAAACATGAAACATTGAATTTTTTATTTCTTAATCACAATTGAATTTTTTGAGGATTAAAGAATGAAAAAGAAACAGTCATTCTGTAATGTGCAGTTTTTCTTGCCTATTATAGCTATGCCCCTTCCCATCTACCTGATCTGACTAAGCCAATCGGAGGGGTATATCATGCCCTTTCATAAGTATATTTTGAACTTTCTTCACTGTAATGTGTTTGCCCCAAAAAATTAGTTGCCATGACTTTCGAAGTAACCCATGTACATCGAATTTTACTATATATTTTGAGCACATTAATCTGCAGAATCTGCACTAAAAGTGCTGGCTCGTGGATGAGTTTGGGTATAACTCATACGTATATTCTTTTTTCTGTTGTTCACTTAGGTATCATTTTAATTCCTCTATTATGGTTTTACTCAAGTCTTTCTGATAATTACTACATTTAAAAATAAATACTTAAGACTGTGCATGCGATTCTACTAGCGGCGTGTGCCTGCGCTTCCACTATCGCAGTTTAAATGCTAGACTGGCCAAATCAGGGTACTTCGGACATTAAAGGTTAATATGATATTTAGCCTTACATTGATAGTATATTGTAATGTCTTCCAGGAAGCAAAATATACATGTTACTTTGTGGTTAACAGGACTGCCTTCCTGAATGTAATACCATGTGGTCTCGTAGATTGTTACCAACATTTCAGAGGAATGTACTGCCTCCATCTGCAGGGTGGAAGATGGAAGGATCACATTTCTGAGAAGTGTCATAACAATCTACTGGACTGCATGGCTTCACATCTGTGAAGGCAGTAAAAATTTATCGCCATGAGCATCGCAGATTGTGCTTACTTAATGGTTGTTTGAGGTCATTTGTTGGCATTTATGTGGTCTGCTATGATACTTGTAACAATAATTTGCATTTTCAGTGGTGCAGTTTTCCTGACATGTGATCATGTCAGTGTTTATTTATATTTATTTACCAAAACTTAAATTTGCATATTCCCCAAGGCAGTTGCTGCAGAGTTCAAAGTTTAACGTTTTCATGCCAACTATTGGCAACAACTTGAAACTTGAAGGCTAGGTTATTTGAAAATGATTATGAGTCTTATACAACTCTTTTATAGACTGTCAAAACACAACAAATAGAAAAAATCAGGGCTTCACTACATGTTTCAGCCACTAACGGCCATCTTCAGGCAAACACATATCAACAAACATGCCCAATTGAACTGCTGTGCAGTAGATTGGATACAATGTTAAAATACTTTGTGTAAAAATACAATAAGTCAGATTATATAAAAAAACTGAAAGTTATTGTATAAAACAAGATAAAACTTAATTAATGTTGTACAACATCGAATCGGTCGTTGATTTTTTACTTTTCCTACGTTTCTATGGACCAATTAGAAGTTCGATATTTCATTTATATAAGAATATATAGGAGGCCCATGATGTTGCAAATTAATTAATTTTGTAGTCAGTGTCTCATCTTATGAAGAATTGTCCGTATTGTATGGAAAGTAAACGAGTTTGCATAGAAACGTATGAAAAGTATGTCGTATAACATTATTTTTTATCTTGTTTTATACAATAACTTTCAGTTTTTTATATAATCTGACTTATTGTGTTTTTACACAAAGTATTTTAACATTGTATCCAATCTATTGTACTGCACCACGCCCTTCGTCTTCCTCTCCACTGAGTACTATTATATTATTATTATTACGAAGAGGAAGGGCACAGCGCAATCGTTACTGGCCCTATTGTTGGTTCCCACGCTCCCCTAGATGGAGATGGGGTATCCAAGCTAGGAGGAGGAAGCTACACTCAGTCGTTGGCTTAGATAAAACCAGATACAATTTAATAACAAAATATAACAATACATAAATAACAAAAAAGACACATTTGACCAAGAAACAAAGACAAGCTCATTTAGACTAACAATTTCCCGTCGGCACCACTTGTGTCGACGCTAGAAATATCAAGACGTTAAGCCCTCCGGCCATACAAACGCAAGTCTAAATTCTGAGACTAAAAACCAACCCAAAACCAATACGCGCGTCGCAAGCGTTCCTGCAACGGCTTGCGACCGCGGGCAGTCCTTACTGGCCAGCAGATAACACCAAAGGGAATTTAGAACAGCCCCAGCCGAAACCAATATTTTCCACCACAAACCTGCTGGCTAGTAAACAACCTTCCAAGTCGACTTGGTCTAAACGACTGCACTGCACAAGTCTCCCCTTCACAAGAGGGTACCTGGGACCACGTGACAGACGTCAGGATACCGCATAGTGGGGATGGAATCCGTCACAGGAGAGATGATGACATCATCGTGAGCGAGCTAAAGCTTAGCACGGCTCAGTACAGCAGTTCAGTGGTGTATGTTTGTTGATATGTGTTTGCCTGGTGATGGCCATTAATGACTGAAACATGTAGCGAAGCCCTGATTTTTTCTATTTGTTGTGTTTTGACGGTCTATAAAAGAGTTGTATATTGTAACACAACAGGATGCATGAAATGAAAATTATTATGAGTCTTCTTCCTCAGTAATCCCTGGAATGTACACCATCTTGCCTCATAAGTCAGACTCGGTATTCCATTGTAAGTGTTAATGGTGTTTTGTCTACATTTTCTTCCTTCAGATTTTAACTTTACTTAATGTCAGGGTATTGCAAAGAATGTTGGGGTAGTGTCAGTCTTATACTTGATGGTAATAATATCTCACTACTGCTAGCTTGAAATGAATATTTACATAAATTCTGTAGATGTATATAATTATTAACTACAATACAATAGTATTTGCTCTGTTATTATATATAGACAGCATAAAATCTGTTTTATTTAATTATGGCAACATTAATACATTTTTTCAGCTTATCATTGTGAGTGTGCCAGAAGGGAGCTGTGTTGTTTTTTAAGCCTTAGTGGTTATATAGTAATATACAGTAGTGTTATATTGACATTGCACTGGGAGATATATGCTTGTAGTTGTAATGTCAGCATAATAAACATTAATTCATAAAGGGAGAGCACTCTGCTGTATTTCCTAACAACATTCCTTAGTAAATACCTTCACATATTATTTCTGATTTGTGGTGGTTTTTCTTGTTCCTTGGTTTTATCTACAGAGCCAATTTTGCAACGTGCAGTCGTGGGAAGCAGGCAGTCAAGAATGCAGGGCAATAACTTTATACAACAGCATAGTGCTCTGAAGCCACAAATCAAATTTCAAAAGCCTGGAGCTTCACCCTCAAGACCAGCGCCAGGATTGCCTCCAGGCTCCACTCCCCGTTCCAGTATTAGGGCACCACCTCCTCCAAGTGAACCCGCACCACCCAACCAGCCTATGGTTCGTCCAGGGTTCAGGCTTCCAGCAATTAGTAAGCATTCAAATTTTGCCATGAACTGTTGTACAGCATAAATTGCAGTGATTAGAGATTTCATTGTTTTGTATGTGTGTTTGATCTGTAAGTCTTTGTTAGTCAAACTGTGAAACATAAAACAATTTGAAGTGAGATATGCTAAGGGTAGATAATTTCTGGTAATGAATGATACGGCAGCAGATCATCTTGCATTGCATGTGTAGAGAAGATTGGAAATATATGTTCCCAATCTAGAATACTGTGACATAAGGCCTCACAGCTAGAATAAAGGAGCCAGAATAACTACCATTGCTAAGCAATGGCATTGTAACTCACAACACTACTGGGGCCATTGCTAAGCAACATAAACACCAGCAATGGAATAACTGTTGGAAGCGGTGTTTTCAATGCTGTCTGTGCTGAGGCTACATAAGGAGTCAGTGTGGAGTTGTGACTTAGTTCACCTTGGGAGCTGCAGCTGAAAGGTGCCAGCCTTTGAGAACAAGAGCCATTGGTCATGGGAGCTGAGGATGTTACACCACTGGAAGCTGCTACCAACCAGAACAGTGAAGACCATGTCTGAGAACACTGGTCTGTGTGTGACAGTGATCTCTGAAGTGTAGTCACAGGTTGTATAAGTGTGCAATAAATCCACTTACCAATCTGAAACTGTCTGTTGTCACTTGATCAAGTGACAGTACTTTCTGTGTGTTCTTCACAGTTGTTCTTCCATATGCATTTATGGTAGATGCAAATCAAACATTCCACATACAGATTTAGTGTTTCAGAGTTAAGTACACTACATCCATTACAATGAACAGAGAAATAAGTTATTTTTTATTTAATTTCCTTGTATTGTTAAATATCATGAAAAATTTAAAATGAAAATTTGCAGACCTTAATTAGACACTAATTTTATGTCACATGCCCATTTTTTGCTATTTTGGAGACTCAGTGAAGTTCAGTTTGAGCTTCATAGAAAGCAGAAGTTATGTTAGACTGGCAAGGACCAAAGTGAAACCAGCCCAACAACATCATTGGAGATTTCAAACATCAGAGTTTATGAAGATCTGTTCAATAGATCCAGAGCTGAATTGTGTTATATGTAGATAAATATTGTCTCTATTTTATGTACTTCATGTAAAGAACACATAACTGAATTTAATTGTACAGTATTTCCTTTAAGAAGAGTAAAGTAAAATATGTATGATTTGAAGTACTCACAGCAGTGGGTGTGAAGAGTTTTGTCTTCTGGAGTATAATGCTCCACTTGCTACATGCTTCATGCTAGTTTCTTGCTTGGCCTGTTCTTCGAACCTGAAGATGGATGAAACTGGCCCAGGATCTTGTCCAATAGTAGGTTTTGGTCTGAAGTTGTTGAACTCTCAGGTTCTATTGCCAAAGAGTTTGTTGGTTTATTTTGAAATGGGTTCTCTGCTCCCCTGAAATACTAAACTTGTGATCTAATAATATTGTTTCTTAGGTGCTGGGTCAGGAGATTTCCCAGGCCAAGTACCAGTTATGCTGACTCCTTCAACTGTTCGACCACAGCAATCAGCTAAAGCCGGTAACCAACGGAATTTCATGCAGACACCACAGGCAGGATTGGCAGGGTGAGTAAATATCATATTTTGTCTTCATTTTGAATATCTCATTTATATGTAAAAGCAAGTTTGTTATGAAAGTCCGCTATCTTGACTTAAAGTCAAGTGAACTATAGTGAACCTTATATTTAAATTTTTTTCTATACTGAACGTTTTCTTCCTTTTTTTTACTTTTAAGCCATGCTTAGCTCCTAGGCCATTTTCCGCCATATTGTGAGCTATTAGTATCTGATCTTCCGCTCAACGCTTCTAAACTGCATTTTCTTAACTTAACTTTCTGTTAATATAGATTAGTAGTAGAATTAGTAAACATACTTGTTATTTTGTATCTTAAATTCGGTGATTTGTATTTTCATAAGTGTACTGGTAGGCCTAACCTACAAGTAGTGTGTTACTTTGTCTTAAGGAAACTGTTTTGTATTTTCGTAAGTATACAGTAGGCCTAACCTACAGGGAGTGTGTTATTTTATATCTTAAGGAAGTCGATTTGTATTTTCACAAGTGTTATTTATATCTTACATAAGTTGTTTGTA